TCTGATCAAGCTGCTCTGTGAACAAATCTGTGAGGAAATCTTTAGCTGTTAGCTAGTTAGCTAGCTGTTGTTACTAGTTAGCAGTATGTTAGCAGTTAGCTGTTAGCAGTATGCTAGCAGTTAGCTGTTAGCAGTATGTTAGCAGTTAGCAGTATGTTAGCAGTTAGCAGTTAGCTGTTAGCAGTATGTTAGCAGTTAGCTGTTAGCAGTATGTTAGCAGTTAGCTGTTAGCAGTATGTTAGCAGTTAGCAGTATGTTAGCAGTTAGCTGTTAGCAGTTAGCTGTTAGCAGTATGTTAGCAGTTAGCTGTTAGCAGTATGTTAGCAGTTAGCTGTTAGCAGTTAGCTGTTAGCAGTATGTTAGCAGTTAGCTGTTAGCAGTTAGCTGTTAGCAGTTAGCTGTTAGCAGTATGTTAGCAGTTAGCTGTTAGCAGTATGTTAGCAGTTAGCTGTTAGCAGTATTAGCCACCCGTGAAGTGGATTCCTTAGAGTTGCACTATGGTGCGTTCAGGCTCTTTTGAGTAAAGAGTAATAAGGCAAATTACATCATTAACTTGATTTGTTCTATAACGTACCTCTGTTCTCTCTGACGGCCAGCACTGATGCATCCTGGGATGACAGACAGGAAGAAGACAACATGAAGCTTTGATATGGACATTACTGAGAGAGACTGAGTGATAAGATAAGATAAGTTCAGTCTCTGAGTGGTGCGTTCAGGCTCTGAGTGGTGCGTTCAGGCTCTGAGTGATGCGTTCAGGCTCTGAGTGATGCGTTCAGGTTCAGGCTCTGAGTGGTGCGTTCAGTCTCTGAGTGGTGCGTTCAGGCTCTGAGTGGTGTGTTCAGGCTCTGAGTGATGCGTTCAGGCTCTGAGTGATGCGTTCAGGTTCAGGCTCTGAGTGGTGCGTTCAGTCTCTGAGTGGTGCGTTCAGGCTCTGAGTGGTGCGTTCAGGCTCTGAGTGGTGCATTCAGGCTCTGAGTGGTGCGTTCAGGCTCTGAGTGATGCGTTCAGGTTCAGGCTCTGAGTGGTGCGTTCAGTCTCTGAGTGGTGCGTTCAGGCTCTGAGTGGTGCGTTCAGGTTCAGGCTCTGAGTGGTGCGTTCAGTCTCTGAGTGGTGCGTTCAGGCTCTGAGTGGTGCGTTCAGGCTCTGAGTGGTGCGTTCAGGTTCAGGCTCTGAGTGGTGCGTTCAGGCTCTGAGTGGTGCGTTCAGGCTCACCTTCAGCACGCGGGGCTGCAGACGGCAGGGGCATGCTGGGAGCTGGCTGAGCGCTGCCGTCACGTCGGGCGTCTCCACGGACGCCAGCGAGCTGCACAGCGCCTTCACTGATTGGACAAGACGCTCCACGTGCAGCGGAAGCTCCGCCTTCAGGGACAGAAGAAGACAAAAAAGACGCTTTTCATTTAGACCGGGAAAATAATTTCAGTCGTGAAACATCTGTCTTTCACAGGACGTTTGTGTCAGTGGACAGGTGTGTTAGTGGACAGGTGTGTCAGTGGGCAGGTGTGTTAGTGGACAGATGTGTTAGTGGACAGGTGTGTTAGTGGACAGGTGTGTCAGTGAGCTAGACGTCGTCACAGGTGTGTCAGTGGACAGGTGTGTCAGTGGACAGGGTGTGTCAGTGGACAGGTGTGTCAGTGGACAGGTGTGTCAGTGGACAGGTGTGTCAGTGGACAGGTGTGTCAGTGGACAGATGTGTCAGTGGACAGGTGTGTCAGTGGGCAGGTGTGTCAGTGGGCAGGTGTGTTAGTGGACGTTTGTGTCAGTGGACAGGTGTGTCAGTGGACAGGTGTGTCAGTGGACAGGTGTGTCAGTGGACAGATGTGTCAGTGGACAGGTGTGTCAGTGGGCAGGTGTGTCAGTGGACAGGTGTGTCAGTGGACAGGTGTGTCAGTGGACAGGTGTGTCAGTGGACGGGTGTGTCAGTGGACGGGTGTGTCAGTGGACGGGTGTGTCAGTGGACGTGTGTAGTGACGGGTGTGTCAGTGGACGGGGTGTGTCAGTGGACAGGTGTGTCAGTGGACAGGTGTGTCAGTGGACAGGTGTGTTAGTGGACGGGTGTGTCAGTGGACAGGTGTGTCAGTGGATGGGTGTGTCAGTGGACAGGTGTGTCAGTGGACAGGTGTGTCAGTGGACAGATGTGTCAGTGGACAGGTGTGTCAGTGGACAGGTGTGTCAGTGGACAGGTGTGTCAGTGGATAGGTGTCTTTACCTCCGACAGCAGGAAGGACTCGGCCTCGTTGTGGAACGTGTCGAGCAGCAGAGTCAGAGCCTCCCTGAACGAAGACAGGTGAGAGAGACAGGTGAGAGGCAGACAAGTGAGAGAGAGACAGGTGAGAGAGACAGGTGAGAGAGACAGGTGAGAGTGAGGTGAGAGAGAGACAGGTGAGAGGCAGACAAGTGAGTGAGAGACAGGTGAGAGAGTGACAGGTGAGAGAGACAGGTGAGAGAGAGACAGGTGAGAGTGACAGGTGAGAGAGACAGGTGAGAGGCAGACAAGTGAGTG